TGGGTAATTAACCTCACTATATCCACATGTACTTGTGACAACTGTCTCCAGGTAACTGCATCTCCACGCATTACCATAACAATAATAATAATAGCCAAAAAGGTGACATATCCAACTGTGTAACCCTGACAGCAAGCTAATACAGACATCACGTTCAGAGCACAAAGGCTTCCTCTGCAGCGTGTTTGGGAATGCGCTAATCTCTTCAATGAGCACCTCCCCAACCACTGTTTTATTCAGTTACAGGCTTAATATAGACATAATCCCACTTTTTGTCATCTGCACTACAGATTTACTCAGAGCGCTTTGAAAATGCTGCTTAAACCTAATTTTTCGAGAAGTGTGTGTAAGTGATGTGGGCTGCTAAAATAGACCAGTGTTTGAAGTGGAGAACTGAAATTACAAAATGATTATATGTTTGCAAGGACACGCCAATGTCTATAGCTATTATTTGTCCTTTTATATCGAAGCCGTCTAGCTATGTTTTATGCCACTTGCTTATATAAGAATCAGAGCTCACTAACACACATTAAGTATTTCCCCATAGACAAATAAACAGCAACAAGTCAGACAAGAACTGCAACATCCTCCCACGGTTCAGCAGCGGCCACAAAATTATTAGTACTGAAGACACTGGGCAGTTAACACACTACTGGGATTTCACTTACTCTAATAGTAATATAAGTCAAAGATAGTTGAAATAGCCAACAGAACACAAGTTATGCTCCGGGTACATCTATTATCTATCTATTGTCTTTTTGTTCATAGCCAAAACAAAGGACTTCTTCCAGTTATCTCATCTCATCTCAAGTCTACAAAGCAATAATATAAAATGTAAACAATGATTTAACAAAACAAATTTGGATGATGCAGTTTTTGCGGTGCGATGCAGTTTGAGCTGCCCAGTGACACAATATTTCCCAAAAGCCACGTCAACAGCAACAAGTAAGTCCGAATCACCGCATCTTCCCACACGCCTCAGATATGAGCTTACATCCCATAACAGAGCACGGCGCTTTATGTTCCCCTCTTATGCTTCTGTCACACAGCTCAGTGGATGGAAACACTGCGAGACGTGGTGCCAAAAGAACAGCTTTAGTTTTACGTCAAAAGAGATGATTAGTTTAAATATGTGTCGTATCAATTCCTCCAAACTCCCCAAAACTTCTTATCTGATCTTAAGCCACGTCTGAGAACGACAAGAGCGCCTAAAAGAGCCCGGAGACTACACGTCCAGCCCGTCCAGTGTCCGCTGCTAACATCACATCAGTAATCTCAAGACCACAGACTATCTGTCAAGACGTAATTAGTCCGAGTTGTCCGCGTGTTAGAGCAACCGCTGTCATACTGTGGTTTATGTCGTTATGAGTGGCGGATGAAGCGGGACGCGACGCTTGTTGTTGTTACTGCTGGATTTCAGCACCACGACAAAGGAACAGCTCCCGTGAAGCCGCGCGTACAGAGCGGACCAGAGTGCAGCGGACTCACCTCCGAGCGCACAGAGACAGGCGCACCCCAGCACCAGCAGCCCCGCGCGGCTACATCCCCGGGCCGACCGCGCCAGCTGCCACATCTTTCCGAGCGCCGTGTGTGCGATGGGCTACAGCCCGGCTGCGGTTCTCAGACGCTCTGCTGCTCTACATTTCTTCAGCTCTTTTGCCAACGACCAGCTGTTGTGCATGACGTAATGAAGACGACGTCCTCCTCGTTGGCTTTGATTTGACAACCTCAATATGTCGGAGCTGCTCATTGGACACGAGGCCCTGTCAGTCTGGCCGCAGTGCGCACGTAGATTGCAGCAGCAGCTCGTCGCTCCGGCGTGCGGGCCACCACCACACAGCTCACACACTTCTGCCCCCCGAGGCTGCACCCCCATACCGGGACCAGGAGCATCTGGCCCGGTCTGTTCCACCGGCATTTCCCTTTGGATAAAACTACATTTAATGTATGTTGCAGCAAGGTCTGCAATGCAGTCTATTTCACTTGCAGACCAATCACAAGAAATCAATTGAGTCCATTTAAATAATGAAACAAGTCACGTGTTGGCTCTCATTATTTGAACAGCTCCCGCAACCACAAATGTCCTCACACTGACTGGGAGCTCTAATGTGGACTTATATAAGACCAAAGAATCTAATCTCATATAACATTCACATATACACTAGTACAGTAAATGTACGTGGCACTTCCATAGTGGACTGTTTTGAAGTAAATGTCAATACATGAAGAAAGCTCTTTATTGTTTGTGTCTCTAGACCAAAGGACCAAATGTTTTTGTGTTATACTATTGCGAGGCATCTTTGAGTTACTGTGAAAAGCACTATATAAGACCACTGCATGATGATGATGATGATGATTATTATTAAAAATGTGCAATGATTCTGTATTTCACCAATTTGTAATAATAGTAATCTTCAAATCAAATCAGCCCCATCTTCTTAATTACTGATTTCTGCGAAGGACAGCAGCAGACTTGTTTGCACACCAGTGATCAAAGTAAATGTGAAGGTTCGCTCAATGACTGTCTGTTATTCATGGTAGTTTTGTAATGATCGGGTTAGCACCAGACACTGCAGGGACAAGGCCGAAGTCCTTGTGAGGATTATTTTAGGTTGTGGGGGACCAGAGCATGACTCATATCTGTCCAAGCTAATTCATCAACCAGAGAATGAGCTCCTAAATCACAGCGGCTCTAATTTATGACTTAATGAGCCATTAAACTCAAGTGTTAGCACTGAACTATGGGCAAATCTGCGCCAACTTAAAAGAACAAGAAGACATTTCTTGATCTGTGGCAGGTTACATCTCATATTGATACTTTGCAGCTGATGTTATGAACATTCCCTGGGGGTGTGATGCTAACCGAAAGCACTACTCTGTCAGAAGCTCTGTTAATTACCTTAATCTGAGTTTTACTTTAACAGAATCTGACCAGAAAGAGCCGACTTGATTCAACTACAACAGGTGAGGTGATTTGTACTCTTAAAGTCTCACATATATAAAATTGCGATCACAAGCTGCCCAGCATGGTCAACAGTTTTTCAATTAGTCAGACACCATGAACACACGTATTGAACACAGGCTCCCAAAAATGTGTTGTTTCCACCCATTTTGTATTATTTCTTGAGATTTCAGATGATTTAAAAACTTTTTTTTGTCAGTGTTTGCTAATGTGTTCATTGTATCGCCATGGTAACTACTACATACATCTCTAATGGTGGATGGTTCAGAACACCCCCAGCACGATGTCATTGCAAAGTATCAATAAATGTCTCTCTGTGTATCTTTTGATTCCACAGTCAGTCATAGTGAACACTCTTTGTTTATTACCAAGTGACAACCATTGATTTCATTGATATGTTGAGAAGATCTTTAACAAGCACTTTGCATTGTCTTTCATTAGTATTGACAAAAACAGGCAGCCTCGGGAGAGAAGTGTCTTTGAAGTGACATGAGAGCTTGCTGTATATTACCATGATACCTCACGTTTGTTTGGGAAATAGGAGTAGAGAAAGAAAACTAATGGGAGAAAAAAGCTCTATTAACAATCATTATTTTGAACTAAATTTTATTACATTTAAAGGGCCTTGCGCTTCTGATCTTCGTTATATTGTTTCCGTATTAAAAATAGACTTGGAGTTGTGTTTTATTTCATTCACACATGCTTAACACACAAACCCAAACAGAAAACACCCTTTTCTATCTGGTGATGTCATGTAGTAATACAGGAAGTGCTTTAAACTTCAAACACCTTCCCTAGAATCATTTGAATTAGTTCAGATGTGAAACTTCCAGTCTGTTCATTTGAAAACTTGGTCTCCAGTGGTCAAAATGCTCTGGTCCACCTCATCATGAAGCAGTAGTTTTCAAGTTAACAGCTACCTTTTACCTTTCATTCAGCAGAGATTGAAAATTCCACAGCTGAAATAACCCAAATGATTCTAGTGATGCTGTGTGGAGTTTAAAAACACAGTGGAGCACTTCCTGTATTACGACATGACATCACAAGGTGGAGCAGAGCATTTTGAGCATTGGAGGCCTGAACACCCTAATATTAAAGGATTACAAACAAAACAAAACACAGCTCCAGGTATGTTTTTAATGAGGTAACAACATTCTAACATGGCTAAATGTTCACTCTCCTGTAATGTAAAAATTGGTCAATGTTCTTTATATGACATCGGGTCGAATACAAATAGTCTTTAATGCTTTGATTTAACAGTTTTGCCAGTGGACAGAATTTTCTTAGTGCAGCTAGCGTTTATGGTCCTTTTTAAACCAGGTCTCTTTAATGTGTCCCTCTATGATAAAGTTAAACTGTACGTGCAAGCAGTAAAATTACAATTATATGTTCATGAGTTACAGATTTTAGTCTCGCATGACTATTTTCTTACTATTAGGGCGCTTCTCATGAAACATTAAGCTTCATTAAAAAACAGAGGTCATTAGTAGTTTTTCCCAGCACTGAGTAAACCCAACAAGTAACTTCACATTAGCACCCCAGGACTTTTAAAGGGCAAACTATTCCACAAACTACATAATAAAAAATTGGAATAGAGTTGGAGGAGGATGTGTGTAGGCGGCATAAACCCTCATAGGCTCACAGGCTATATCATGGACAGTATTTCTGCTCTGACAAAGGCACAAAGGCACAGAGAATCATTTTGCAGAGGTTTTTTTTTTTGTGCTTTCACGATTGACTTCTTTGTACTGATAATTGTGCAATATATTTGTTAATGACTTGAGCAGCTTGAGTATTTGTGCTGCTAAATAAACAATTATAGTAGATTTATAGTAACTTATTTTTAGAAGAGTTTTTATAATTGAATGGAACACCAATTAACCCCAAGTATAATACACTACCTACAATACTTGTTACCTTACTTATGCTTTTCGCTGAGATCTAAGATGGCTTAATGGCGCCCCCTAGGAACAAGAATGATAACTTAGTTGCAAAATAATGGTTCATATTATATATTAAAAAAGCAATGTAGATCATAGGAATTGTAACAGCCAGCACACATTTTTATTTTTCACCACTATGTTCCACACTATACACTACATACAATTTACAGTAGAAGAGAATTTAATAAGGCACAAGTCCAGAAGTACCACTCATCATCAATTCAACTGCTAATAGCTTCAGATTTACAAGTTATTATTTAAAGTTTATGCTAAAAGTACATGATATTAAGTAAAGTATATGTTTTTACAAATTGTAAATAAGTCCAGTTACATCCTAAAAACTCCAAAATGTGTCTTTTTGGTTGGTGCATTGAGCGCAGCACTGAGACTAAGCCCAAGGACCAGCCGTGTATCAGCTGGATCGATAATTCCATCATCCCACAGCCTGCAAAAAAGCCATCACATTATTAGATGCACATTATGCCTGATTCATGCGAGGCTTCCTGTAGCACGTTAGCACTGCTCTATAATGGGAGACTTTAATCAAGATGCTGTGACACTCATCTTCCTGTTTTAATGCCCTCACGTCTTAATCAAGCACTGTCTGTTTCCTCTTCTCTGCTCTGCTCTCAAGGTCACAGCCAAAGCCTACGCTCAGCTATAAGCGTTAGATACAGAACAAGCTGTATCTTGGCTCTCTTTCAAAGCAATAATCACAAATAAAAATATTAAAACAGATTTTGTTCAAATTTGAGGAAAGAAGTTCTCAGCATTTCTAAGTAATCGCAATAAAAACTGGCAAAAAGCCGACAGGTCTTTTTTTTTTTTCTTTTTCTCTACAAATGCTGTAATTCAGACCTCCAAAAACATATTCTGATATACATTGTATTTAGCATGTTCGTTCTATCTGAAATGTTAAGACTCTGGGACATGCTCAAGTTGTTGTGCACTGAAGTGTATTATAAAACATAAATCATAATTTGCAGTCACAGAATCTGATTAGATATTTTTCCAAGCTCTTCAACTACAGAAGTAATTTTCACCTTTTATGCACCATTACTAATATTAAAATCCATTAAAATCAATCTCACCTAGCACTGGAATAATACGGGCTGCCTTCTTCCTCAAATCTGCGCACAATTGGTTCCTTCATGGCAGCTTCCATTTCTGCAGTGAACTGATAATAAAGACAGAAGAACAATCAGATAAAAGAACTATTACATTATATTGACAATTAATATTGATCATATCTTTACATTCCTGAAAACTGACGGCGATTTCAGTAAGTCCTTGATTGAAGTGAATTAAATGCTACCAATGTCTAATGCCCCATCTAATAAAGCCGCTAATGCACTCTCAATAAACCCATAACAGCTTTTCTGATGCAGTCCAATTACAGGCACTTGATTTTATTCTATAATCGAGTTAAAACCATTTGACGAGGACAAGTGTGGTTCATAATGTTTACGCTTTTGGCAGCGATTCCTCAGTCTAATTTTAGCAGTTGTAATTAATATGAAAGATTACCTCCTTTCCCTCGCGTGCCCTCTGATCCTTGGTGATGGTAGCCAGCACAGTAGCGGCCTGCTCCCCACCCATCACTGAAATACGAGAGTTGGGCCACATGTACAAGAACCGGGGGCTAGAAATAACAGAAATAACTTCAAGAAGACACACAATACATTATGCAGTTACATAGGCCTGTTACAACAATTACTATACAGACTTAAAAATATGAAAGCTGGTACAATATATTGTGAGGAGATTTTTGACATTATTCTGTACTATGATATGATTTGATGTGAGCTGTAGAGAGAAGAATAAATAACTTCTATGGCTAATTATGATTCTCCTTATTTGATTCTTAATTGACACAGTATATTTAAAAATAGATTTACTGGGATTATCCTGCTTTGTATCAGTAGCATAAAGTAGTTTCAATACATCATGCTTAAAAATTTGTTATCGTGACAGGACTACAGTTATATAATAGCAATAAAATACCATACCTGTAAGCCCTTCCACACATGCCATAGTTTCCAGCACCATAAGAACCTCCAATAATGACAGTGATCTTAGGAACACTGGCACAGGCAACTGCAGTCACCATTTTGGCCCCATCCTTGGCAATGCCTCCTGCTTCGTACTCTCTGCCAACCATGAAGCCTAAGAAGTGACATTTTTAAATACTTTGAAATTTGAAATTTGTAGTATTTATTTATTTTTATTTATTAGAACAAATTGTGACACTTTATACTAACTACACCTTAATTAGCATTAAAGGTCCTACATTACATAAAATTTACTGAGCTTGTCATGTTACCTCCTTAAAAACATACCTGGGGTTGTGTTGTACTGTATTGTATTTCATTTCATCAACATGTTTGCATAATCCTGCATTGTTAGGCTGTATGCTTCTACAAAGCTCAAAATGCTCTGTTCCACCTTGTAATGTCATGTAGTGGTTGTCTTTTGTTTAGTAGAGATGGATAATTCCAGGTCCCACATCATCAAAATGATTTTAGTAAAGGCGTATGGAGTCTGAATACACACTGGCGCACTTCCTGTATTACCACAAGACATTACAAGGTGGAACAGAGTCAGCCTAAATATGCAAGAGTTGTGTGTTAAGACACAAAATAAAACTCCAGGTCTGTTTTTGATAAAGAAACAACATTATAACAATGATCAGAAAATAGCATAATAGAGGCCTGTTACTAAAGCATGATGATGAATTGAGTGTGATTCAGGCATTGTAACTACTTAACTATGGGGTAGGATTATTAATTAGTAGTTACTAAGCCTGAATCATTCTTAATAAATAAGTTGTTCATTAAGCATTAAGTATATTTCATGCTTTACTAAGGCTACAAATAGTGTAGTTTTCAAGTTATAAAGTGTAGCCAAACAAAATATACTCGTGATCACCAACCTGTGATGTTTTGGAGAAAAATTAAAGGAATGTTTCGCTGACAACATAGTTCAATGAAATGTGTTCCCTACAAAGACACAGGAAACCATCAAATACAACAGCCAAATATAACAGCTTTAACTGGAGTGAGACACGATCAAGAGAATGGTTACATACAATAAGACTATGTCATTTAGAGAGAATAAAATCTAATTTCAGTCTATAACACAGACACTTGGGAAAGCTTTCAGCAGTTTAGAAGAATAAAAACTACAGCACGTGATGAAATGGTGTCATAAAATGTGTGTGCTGTATTGATTTTTGTGGATTAGCTTTCAGAGCATGTCGGTGTCCATCTGAACACAGTGCCTCACACAACAACAGTCATGCTGGTGATGAGATAATCATACCTCAACCATCAAATTGAGGTCCCAGACAAAAATGAAAGTAAAAAAAATATATTTGGTGTAATCTAGTAACCTAATTTAACCAGTGCGCAGGCATACAAGTCTGTAATGGCAAATAGATGTGTTGCTTTGGTGGAGGTGGTGCTCAGTTCAGTCAAGCATCAGTTGGTTTATAAATAAAATATGTTTTGCGTGTTGAAAATCATGCTTACTCTGTGTATGTGTGCTTGCTACAGTACAAACAGAATGTATATACCCTGTACATAGTAACTGAGAAAACAAGTGTGAAACTTTCCAATTGTGTATACTCATTGAATGCAATGAAACAATGAAATAAAATCTACCTTTTTGGCTGATTCTGAAAACAGGACTCCATTGTTGCCAATGATACCAACGGGGTATCCGAAAACTCGAGCGAAACCTTTTTGAGCAGAAAATACAAGTCAGTTGATAAAGAATAAAAAGTATTATTGTTCATTTATTGTTTTACCTGTAACTAGTGTATCTCCATAGAAAGTCTTGAACTCATCAAATTTGCTGCCATCTACTACTCTGGCAATGACCTGCAATGAAAAGGATACAGATCTATACAAAAAATCCACAATAATTCTTTCTCTGTTTCTCTTCATTAGTCAAAGTCCTTCCTGATTCAGGCGCGTTACATCTAACCAGTCACACAGTAGTTTGGCAGATTTTACCATCTGTGGCACCCCCAGCCTAAAAAAGTCTAAAAGCTGTATAGATACTGCATTTTTCTTCAAGGTAACAATACATATATAAGTAATAGTAATGGGAAGAGTACTTTGAAAATGCATTTAGCTACAGAATACTGAATACATGAATTAAAATGCATTTTGTAACATATTTTGATACCAGAGTACTGTAGGTATGCTGTACACTTAGAATACTTTTACACAGAGTTGCATTTAAATTATAGTGCAACATAGGATTAAAAACAGCAGGATAGGAAATAGCATCAGTAACTGAAAGTTAAAATCACATTTGCACTCATCACAGGAGCTGTGTTTTCTATCTATCCCACTAACACTGTGGAGTTTGAACCCTAATTTGTGTAATCAAGCACTGAAATGGATTTCTTTGATTTTAGGAAAGTAATTGTATTCTGAATACCACCAAATGAGAAAGCAACTGTACCAGAATACATTTACTCAGTTAGTATTCTGAATATGTATTTTATATGTACAACACTGTCACTAGCATACCTCTCTGACATCAAAGTTGCGCTTTAGATTATCTCCCACAATGCCATAGAGCTCATCTGCAGGGAACAGAGGTGCCTCTGTTGGTTCTGTGGTCACCTAAAATAAACACATATATTATTCCCACTGCATAACTAACACTAAAACAGTTAAAATCATGAGCATACATCCACATTCTTCCTGTAGTTGAGACTTCTTACGGCTTTTCTTGCTAAGTGGAGTGCGTGGTTGTCATCTAAAGCATAGTGGTCCGTTACACCTGATTTTCTGTTTTTTAAAAATAACATCAGTAATTGTGAGATGAACAACATATTAAAACATCATGTAAGCCATTGTTCTTACTTGCAGTGCAGATCAGCACCTCCAAGATCCTCAGCAGATACTTCTTCTCCAGTTGCAGCTTTTACCTAAAATTAATTATCATTACTGAATTATTACAATAAACAAAAAGGTAAGACATTTATTTAAAATCATTTTAGCATACCAAAGGTGGTCCCCCGAGAAAAATTGTTCCTTGCTTCCTGACAATGATACTCTCATCTGCCATAGCTGGTACATAGGCTCCTCCAGCAGTACAGGATCCCATGACGACTGCAATCTGCCATAGGAGAAGAAATTGTGAGTCGTCTTCACAATTGAGCTTCACTTTGATCAAATTAACAAATTATTTTTGACTATAATTATTTACCTGTGCTATTCCCTGTGATGATAGATTAGCCTGGTTAAAAAAAATACGGCCAAAGTGATCTCTGTCTGGGAAGACATCAGCCTGTCTGGGCAGATTGGCACCACCAGAGTCCACTAAAGGAGAAAAGTGAAAAAATAAATTAAAATAAATACATAATAATAATAATAATGAACACTGATATTATGTAAAGTTCCAACTACATGTATGTTATTTGCTCACCCAAATAAATGCATGGCAAGTGATTCTGTTGAGCTATTTCTTGGGCACGAAGGTGTTTCTTCACTGTGATTGGATAATATGTGCCGCCTTTGACAGTAGCATCATTTGCAACAATGACACACTCCACTCTATGGGAGAAAAGAAAAAGAAAACTGGTAGTGTTTAAAATGTATTTTAGAATAAATTATTGGCAATTTGCTGTTTGAGCTTACCCTGAAACTCGACCAATCCCTGTGATGATGCCACCAGCAGGCACCTCTTCCTTCCCATACAGCTCATATGCAGCAAACTGAGAGAACTCTAGGAAAGGGCTCCTGTAAAAGCAGGCAAATTTACAATACATTGTTGTAAATTGAGAGTGTTACATGTAAAATAGTATAAAACATTTTTAAAAATATAAAAAAAAAACTATAATATCTACAGTACCCTGGGTCCAGTAGTCGGTCTATGCGCTCTCTAGGTAAAAGCTTCCCTCTTGATGTGTGAAGTTTTCTAGCCTTTTCACCACCACCTAAAAGGAAAGGTTGCATAGACTTGTGTCCTAATTAAAATACATTCTAGGTGTGAATCTTTAATTCACTGTATTTAATAAAGCCATTTTTGTTGAAAGATTATTTGGCACATTATACCCAGTTTGATCTTCCCTGTCCGTGTTTTCAATTCATCAACAAGAACTTTCATACGCTGATAGTTTTCCTGTGGAAAAAGGGAAATGTAGGCATTTGCACAACCATTACCATGTTAAGAGTCTCACTAATAGGAGAATACAGTATAAAAACTACATGCGATTAACCCATATTTCCATGAACATTCAATATCGTAAGGCGTATATTTTAATGAGGGGTGATACAAATGACATTACTTAAATTAAATGTGTATTCTAACTTTAGAATGACTTTACTGATGTTACATTAAATTATACCACAGTAGCTGTGGACATCCAAAATCCAAGGCTACTGTGCACAGAGAGGTCTGTGGCTACTCTTAGCATTTGGCTAACCTACCTGATAGTCAGATGATTGTTTATCAGGCTGCGATCCCAATCGAGCCACTTGATCTGCGTGGTAAGGTCGTGCAGCAGTCACAGGGAGCGTCCTGCAGCGTAGCAGCCATGGCCTAAAACCACGGACGAGCATTTTCACATGAAATGTACCTGAGGTGAGCACGGAGGGACTAGCTTGCTGGCTAACCTAGCATTGACAATGCATTAAAAAAATGTTTTGTGGAGGTCTAGACTTTCGTGTTAAGTTCCTTGGTGAAGCTGGATGCTGTAATAGCCCTATTCTTTCATTAAATGGTACTCTCGGAGGTTTATGTCCTAAAAACACAGAGCTAGGTTTCTGGTAAAGTCAAACAGGACGCCTTGTACCGCAGCGTCACCTGCTGGAAATTTTAGTCCATTACAGAAAACATAACATTGACTGTGGACACTCACACCCCTTTACCAAGATGCGTGTCTTAAACAAGCCAAATGTGCAACTCCAGCCTGGAAGATCCACATATAATTGACATTTCTATTTAATTTTGCTTCTGTATGTCTACATATCACAGACATGTTGAACTTCCTTGCCAATCGTAATGATTCTGAGCTCTAATTATTTATTTTTTGCTTTCAAGGTTGTATCAACAGGTGTTATTGTAACTTATTAAGAATTTAAGTAAAATTAAAAATGTATCCTACTTGTATTGAAAGGTTGCCCATTGTAATACGGTTGAAGCCCTAAACTGCCATCTAGTGGATTAGACAGGCATAAACCCACAGGTTCCATCAGTCACCTCTTATAGAGGAGGGTATGATTTACCAAATAGCCCTATTTACTTCAATACAGAGCCTCACTCAGGTGCCACAGACAGCTACTAAATTGGCATTGGCACCAGCCGCTCATTAAGAGCGCTGACTCCTGACCTGTGGTAATACACAATGATATTAATGAGGGTATAGACATGGACTAAACAATGTCATCTTTATAGCTGATACCGTTCAGAAGACAGGAGCACTGCCTTCCACAATAATGGACTGCACCGAATGTGTATTTTCTTGATATTTGTGTACCACCTCTAGCAACTATCTCTCCTCCACTTTATCATAATAAAGCCAAAATTGTTGATAAACTCTTTTGAAGAGTATGTGGATCTGTTTTAAAGAGTTAGCCTAAAAGCTTTAAAAATCCACACCTTCTGACCTGCACGCTTTATTCCAGGTTCATTGGGCAGAGTCCAAACTGAAGAGCATTCAAACCAAGAGCTTTTAGTTCATTTAGTTGTAAGAGGCCTTTTCTCCTCCAGCACTCCCACCAATTCTATCAGCATACACAGAGGCAGCCATGACCCCCACTCAAATGACTGCTCCTGTTTTCTTAGGAAATATACAATCCTCCACTCTGCGCTGAACCTGCCCCCTCTCACTCATACCGCTCTCTCTACTTTAGCGTGGCCCCTGACCTTCTCACTGCGGCAGCCGTGAAGAGAGGGAATAAATGTAGAGGCATGAAAAGCCTCTTAGTGGAGAGAAAAAAAGAAATGAATTAAATAAAAATGGACCAGGTGAGGCCACAGAATGGAGAGAAAACAGTCTATTGTTGATTTTAATTTTTGTCCTCAATGCATTTATTTATATATCTTTTGCTCAGTGTTGCTTGGTTTTGTAGTAGTAATAGTATAGACCTGTATAAAATATGCATGGTCTCTTAAATTGTCATAGTACATGGCCAAGTGGTAGTAATTCAGACACAGACTGTTAGAAAAAAATCTGTGCCTACTCTACTTTGTGCCAGGTCAAGATACATGCAATAAGAGCAAGAGCTGGCCATTTCAGATGATGTGCTGTGGCAGGCCCTAACAGTAACAGTAATAGCAATGATAGTAATGTCAGGTAGAATATCTGTTAGTAATGTAGTGGTAGGCTATTTAAAGGTGCTCTAACTAACATTTCTGGTGGAGCGTCTGCTATCTGCTTGTCTCCATGGCTATAATGCTTTGCTCAGAATTTTACACAGTATTGTATTAAAGGTCCCATATTACGCAAAACTGGCTGTTGTGAGCTTTAAGCCATGTTCAAATGTTATAACCTCATCAAAAACATATTTAGAATTGTGTTTTGTTTCATTCACAGATTTATTTATTATTAATCTGTCTACATATCCAATCTCAAAATGTTCTGTTCCACCTTGTTCCACTTGATGTCATGAACTGTTTTTCACCACAACAGCTACTTTTTAACTTTTGTTTAGTAGAAACTCGCAATTCCAGGACTGAAATGATCGAAATCATTCTAGTGAAGGTGTATGGAGTTTAAAAACGCAGTGAAGCACTTCCTATATTACTTATTACATCACAAAGTGGAACATTGTGCTTTCTGCTTGAGAGAAGAAAGGCTAAATATGCAGGATTTGTGTATTAAACATGTTTAAATGAAACAAAACACAACTTCCAGGTATGTTTTTGATGAGGAAATAACATTATAACAGAGATAATAAAATGTCATAATATTGGCCCTTTAAATGTCTATCTATCTCCACAGAGACAAGCAGATTACCAGACCACATTACTGGTCACATCCATTGAGAAGCCACCTCATTCACAGTGCATGTTTTTCAATTAAAACACCTGTAGTCAAATAAATACAAGACAGATCAGGTTAATGCCATACTGTGAAACATTCCAGATTAAAACAATAATCTCCATGGAAACAATCAGGTAGAGAACCCCCACCAGAAAAGTTATGTCCTCTGCATACTGTATCCTATCCTTTACCACATCCTTACCACATTTTGTTCCTCAAAATGCCTTCACTTTCAAGTTTTGTCTGTCAGTTTATAGGCCCTAACACTTTAAAAATGCTACTAACTGCTCACACATACCAGTGCATCCAAATGTTTTCATGCCAGCTGCGTTAAAAAAAAAAAAAAAAAAAAAAAAAACTCATCCTCCTCTTTTTTGGATGGAGATAATGATTCTCGTTTCCAGGCTCAAAGAAGTCATTAATGTGTGACACAGCCTTGAATGTAGCATATCAAAGCTTTTGCGAGTGCGCCCCCGTCCCGCCCACTAACCGCACCGCCTTGTTAAAACAAACATGAATTAAACATCATGGTCGACCTGTAACTCTCCGCCAGACTGTCAGTAGCAGAGGCATCAGATGTTGTAAAGAAAAAAAATTTGCTTTTCAATCCCTTCAGACTGTATAAAAAATCCTTACAAATCTTTCATCTCGTTGTAGGATCAGTGCCAAATTTACTCCGGCAGATAAAATGACGGACACGCTGGCTCCCTATGCGCCCTCTCCCAATCTCCCAATCTCTCGCACGGATATGATGAGAGTGGCAAGGTGAAAAACGGGAGGAGATGGATATCACAGAGGCAGATGTGATAAGCAAAATGAATGAGGGCACGTCGTGTGAGGTCAAGTACAATAGAAATTATGAGCAGAGAGGACTCATATAGCCTATTGTACAATCATATTGGCTGCCTTCACAATCCTTCACAATAATAACAGTATAAGCTGCAGCAGTCCCCTTGTTTTGATCCTCTGATTCAAACAGAAATATTGCCTTCACAATATCATTTCTCTGATAATGGTTCATAAGGTTTGATCTTAGCAATAGGTCGGTTAACAGAACTGAGCTCCTACAAAAGGTAAAAGATCAAATATGTCTGATGTACAGCCCACGGGCCATTGTTTATGTAGGGTACTTGACAAGATTCCATAATCTTTTATATCTAGAATTCTTATGGCTTTCAGCATTTTATTTCATAAATGCTTATTTACTACCTCTTGAATCAAATAACACCAATAAGAAATAAGGCCAATAGAAATTGTTATAGGTCCTATGTAACTTTTCTGGTGGAGTCTGCCACTTGCTAATTTCCAAGGAGTTGTTTTAGCTATGCCTGGAATGTCCTTCGTTATGGCATTAAACTTATCTAGCTCCATGAAGGTGGTTTATCGCCCAGGCCATGTTACATGTTAAAATGTATGTCAAATCTTGAAAGGGCTGTGCATGTTTTTTTTCAAGATATTTTAGTTAAAACAGCTAAAATGAAAAATAAACTAGAAAATAATGATAACATGTAAAAAATACCAGGCAACAATATCTGTAGACAAGCAGGTGGTGGGCACCCACCAGAAAAATACATAATGATAAAATGAGGCAAGAAATGTCTGCCTTATATAATTGAAAGATTGTGACATTGCGAGATGTAATTGTTCATTATGTGCCGTATTCATCAAAGGTTCTGTTTTTCTTTACATGCACAACAGCTTGACACTGTTGCAGTCATGGTCTCCTCCGTCTGTCTCCATGTATCCCATCAAAAAATGGTCTATCATTTAAGTCTGTTTGAAGTTATGCACAAAAGTCTCACAAAGGAAACAAATGACAAACCAGTTAGATTCTAGCATACAATGCATTGTGTTTTGTTAAGTAACATTTTCAAAGTATGCATAGCATATACTAAACTGAACTGATACTACTGGCTCTGCTTCAGGAAGCTCTGGGCTTCGATTCATTATTATTGCTTCTGTATTTTGGATAAGCAGCACTGCCACATATTTGCAGTTGCCAAACTTTAAGAAACAAGGGATTTCCTTAAGAGATAGAAGTTTTCTGCTTTATACAGTCGTTTGACTGACACTTTCTTTGACTCTGTTTAAGAAGTAGAAAACGAAAGAAGCCCAAGTTTGAGCTGTTTTAAGAAGTTAGTCTGTTTAGTATGCTCTGCATTGAGAAGAGCAACTTTTGCTTCAGTAACATATTATGAAGATGCTTAAATTGCATGTAAATAAAGCATAATTTGTATTTAATTCTCCACTTTCATAGAAAAGTATTTAAAGAAAAAGACATGTTCATATTGTTTGATCCATGTTTTCTGAATGTTAACCTTCCTAAACTATGTAAAAAATCTTTTTGGAATAATTTCAGAACAGTCTCCAAAGTGCTCTTGTGTTGGCACAGAGTGGTAATGGCTCTACAAAGTGGCTCTTCACAGATACAGCGTCAGCCAGCTCCCGGGTCACTGACACAGCCACACAGGTCCTCCCATTAAAATTTCATGTGGCAGCGGTGGCCAAGGACAAACAAACTGCCAACATTATTCTCATTAAAGCGATGCAGTGAGCCACACACACCTTACTGCTATTGTGTGGTCTGTTTGTTTAAACCACGTCTAGCTGAAAAGTGGGTAATTTGCAAGAGCTAAGTGCACTTCATATAAAAATGTTGAAGTAGGGTCCCTCTTTGCATCACCTCCTCTTCCCAGTGTCTATGCGCTCTATCATTCACTAGACTCCTCCACAACTCTCACTTGGATCTCTTCATCTTCACCAGTCCAATGCAGTCCTGGATACAGCACAATAAGTTCAACTGGAGTACCACC